CAACAATTTTACTTACGAATATTTTATTAAACCAAATGAAATCCAATTTTTTTTTAAGCAAAAGTAAAGTGCAACATAGAGTGCAAGAAGCAAGTGTCCATCTCATAATCCAAATCCCTGAAAACAAAGTTCAGTATTATAGCGTAAGAATGACAACATATCCACGTGTTCTAGTCTACTAATAATAAAATAATCAAAAAACACTTTTTAAAGGAAAATGTTATTAATGTATTTACCAGAAATGTTATTTACCAGAATTTATTTAGGAGAAAAATGTAAATGTGCAGTATTTAAAAAAAAAAAAATCAATTAATTGGAGATGCTGGAATCCAGTTATTATTAATTAAAATGGAATCCAGAAAATAATGGAAAACAGAATTTGGTAAAGATAAAACTGTAAAACTCAATTAATTAGACAGGCTTTTTGATTAATAAAATGTAATTTAACCATTAAAACAGAGTATAGAAAAATGAAAATGGAAAAAAACTGAATTTGTGTGGAACTACTGTGAACGGAGCCGCTGTGTGACGCATGTACTTAACCTACACGCATGTAAATAATTAAAGCGCATATACTGTATTAGAACTGCATCGCATATAATTATTTAAATCGTAGCGTTTGTGAATTCACAATTATGCTTAATTATGATTTTAAATGGGTTTAATATATCATGCAGCCTTGGGAAACAGTCTAATAATGTGTTTTATGTTTTAGTATTTTAGAGACGTTTGAGCCGCCTGCTTCAATACCTGGATCAGTTTGCAGCTTTTACTTTGACATAGCACATGCTCATGTGCTGGAAGATTGTTTGTTGTATGATATGAAATGTAACTCTCTGTAAATGCCAACTCATGTAATCATGACCTTTAATATTTCAAAACCATGTATCACCCTCACTTTAAAAGAAAAACGACATTAGCATTTCAGTAACACTTTAGTATAGAGACCAATTCTCACTATTAACTAGTTGCTTATTAGCATGCCTATTTTTAACATATTGGCTGTTTATTAGCATGATCATATTCTACATCCCTAATCCTACCCAATGCCTAAATTTAACAGCTATCTTACTAACTATTTATAAGCAGCAAATTAGGAGTTTATTGAAACAAAAGTCGTAGTTAATGGTTTGTTAATGGCGAGAATTGGACCTTAAAATAAAGTGTGACCAGCATTTCCTGAAGGAAGTATCAGTACTTGCAAGGCAGCAACAAGAAAGTATGATTTTGGTTTTAATGTAAATGAAATTGCTTCAGAGTTGCTGTGCAGTTGTCAAGACAATCAGTGCGTGTATCGTTATCTGTCAGATTGATGTGAGCAATGAACACAATAAAACACTCTCCACATCTCAATAATGTGTACTTCCCTCTTATATAGTATTCAAAATCTGTAAGTCAGATGAATAGAGTGTTCACATACACAGTCAGATTCGAGAATTTGGGGGGAAAATGGTCAGTTGTATGACTTTCTTTCTTGTGTAGAACATAAAAGATGATATTTTGAGGAATGTTTTGACTATTTTTGTCTATGTATTGAAAGTCAATGGACTCCAAAACACTATTAGGCAAGGGCTCTACATGAGTTTTTAGCTCTTGAACAATTTTTAACTTAAAAACACAACACGGTGCAAAATCCTGAAATAATGGTGAGGCCCAATGCAGTGACCAAGTATGTTCTTCTGACGCAAGTATAAACTAAAAATAAAAAAAATAGCAGTGGTGCGCACGCAGTGACCTCAGGACTTTCAGGGTTTGATTGACAAGTACAGTTTCACATTACAAGCATCACTTACTGCAGGCATTCAGGCAGTATCCCAATAAACTCCAAATTATCATCACTTCATCTTGCAATTACAATCACTTCTGTTGTCTAATAGCGGCACGCAAACCGACACTCAATTAGCTTCGAAAATTGCGTTAATTAGCCTACAGTAGCCTGCATAATGAGTCACTCGCAAAATGGGCATTTGCAAAAGACAGCCAGATAGTGGAAAAGGAAGCATCATCAAAGGCTGGATGAGAATGATGAAACTGACCTCTATTGCTGCTCATTTTGATGATCTTTGTTCAAAAATACAGATGCATCCATCACAATAAGAGATGCAAACTGCAGTAATGGCTCTAATTAAAAAAATTAATTGTCTCAATTAATGGTTGTCAATCAGTTAAACATTTTAATGGCATGATATGATGAATAAATGCCCCCGATTAAATATAATTTAAAATATTACATTATTGAGGCCAAAAAATAATTTAATAGACATCACAAATATAATTCATTCATATAATTGAACATAAGCCCACAGTTCTTTGCAATCAATTCAATTACGTTCGTCAGTCTCACATGATCACATGATGTGATTGACATTTATTGTCTAAATATACACAAACTGGACATTTCCATGCACAAGATAAATTATACAGAGTTTTACTTTCATAGCCAACCTGCAATGGATGAGTTTTCAGTTAATATATGCTCAGGCTATTAATAACTTTTAGGCTGCTCTTGATTCAGTACTCAAAACAAAATTGGCTGCCGTTTTGCCATTGTTGCTGATATGACAGCCATAATGACAGGTTATTCTAATTATCAGAGGGTTAGATTTAATTATGTAAATGACCAGCCTTAGCAGGCTATGTCTATCTAGCATGCTTTATTATATTTTAGTATTATATTATTTATTCAAAGCAGCCTTATATAAGATAAAGTTGATCACAAAGGGCTATATAGGTTGCATAGGTAGTTTATTTTCCACTAATGACTATTTTACGTTTTATAGCAATATGGATATTGACTATTGGCTATTTAAAAAAGGGGCGGGGCTGCTTGATATTTTCCACCCTGTCTTCCTGTTTCAGTTAAAATGACATTAACACATAGAATAACGGTGCGTGTTTCAAGGCACTTCAGTGTGGACCTTTAACTATTAAAATTATATTGTTAAATATTTTGCTATAAAAAAGCCATATAATTACTTCTGTGCCACAACAATTGAATTGGTGAATCATTTTATGTATCTGTTCATTTACCCAAAATGATTCATTACAATGTTATATGAGCGAGACAGGACATTATATATACATTATACATATATATTATCGTTTGGTTACGTTACAACATCATTTTATGTATCTGTTCATTTACCCAAAATGATTCATTACAATGTTATATGAGCGAGACAGGACATTATACATTATATATACATTATACATATATATTATCGTTTGGTTACTCTACAATGCTACTTGGATAAAGTAGCTTGTTGTTACTGTAAAAACTACACCGTTTTAGAAACACCTGAACTACTGTCACACTACTGTAGTATAAAAGAGAAAGTTAGGTAGTTAGTTTCCAACACTGATATTGACTGTGAGTGTGTGTTTCTTTGTGTGTGATACAGGTGATGGAGTATGAGAACCGGATCAGAGCTTACTCCACCCCAGACAAGATATTTCGCTACTTTTCCACCCTGAAGATCATCAGTGAGCACGGAGACGCGGAGGTGTACATGACACCACAGGACTTTGTGCGCTCCATCACGCCCAATGAGAAACAGCCAGAGAGTGAGTTTCAGTCTTTCTTGACCAGGGTTGGGCAACATTCAGAATTGGATATTCTAACTGGCCTCGTCAGACAGGATGTTGAATTGCAATCACAGGAAGAGGCATTTACAGAATTTAAAAGAAAGTCAGCAGTCAGCTGAGAATCAAAATTATTATTTTTTTGACTGACTATGTCTATTTATTCTTTAATACGTAGAATTTTTTTTCTCAGGTGAAACTACTGTTATAAAAAATTTCTTAGATTCAATACTGTTAAAAAAATAAGACATTTACATTTAAGACATTTTATTTATGGGTGACAAATTGGTGAAAATTGTAAAAAAAAATTTTTTAAAAAGCAAGAATGAAAAAAGTTTAACTTGCAGCAGTTAAAAATATTTACAATTTAATTTTGTTTTAATTCTACTTATTCAAATTCAGGAGTTTGAAAGGCATTCAATTCGATTCTGAATGGTGCACATCTTGCTCATGTGTACGAACATCACACATCAGTCATGTCTCTTCGTGCTGAGCTTTCTTCTGTATCTGTGAATAGCTCTAAGCTTGACACACTCATAAATACACCGTTAACCACTGGCCTTGGGCGAAGCCTGACTTCCTCACTCATTTCCTGTGCTCTAATCCAAGTCTGTAACATTCCTCTGAAGGCTGAAGCTCTGATATGGGGTTTCTTTACATCATAGGGTTTTTGACCTGCCGTGATCCTAACATAGCAGTGAAGAAAACTGAAACATACCCCGCAGACAGGTGGCGCTGTAGTGTGAAATTCAAACCATTGTCACAGTTTTGACCCTGATCTACCAGCTGACCGGGTCGTGCTCATCTGCCAAACCAGGGCTACGTTCCACAATTGTTATGCCCTTCACTTCGCTGACCTGCCTACGTCTCACGAACATGCTCTAGTGCCCACTACTGCTGAAACAGAGCGGCCTAAACCCTTGATCACTAGAAACCCGCTACGAATCTGATTTATTATTTACAACCAATGGGTGCAGGTTCAGTGCAGATTTTATGTGATGTCACGATCAAAGTTGCATTTTGGGAGTTGGATCTGCCTGAAGCATACATATGAGTTGACTCAAAATTTGACAGTTTGAGGATCTTTCAGCAGAAACTTCTTTCTCAGGGATTCCCCTCAAGAGAAGTGCTTAGGGAAGTTAGTGGGTGTATGTTTAAAGTGAAATGAAAAGCAGCCCACAACTTAAAATCCAAAACAACTATATTGCCTTTTTTGACATATTCCATTGTGTTCTGATGCATTCTGTGCCGTAACTAGGGCTGCACAATATATCGTTTCAGCATCAATATCGCGATGTGCGCATCCGCGATAGTCACAGACGCCACGAAAGCGCAAGCTCCCGAGCACTTTGGAAAGAAGGAGAAAGCGGCGTGGCTGGCGTTTTCCACGCGTTTTTAGGCGCGACATGTGAACGGCCCCAAAGTCTGTCTACACTGGATGCAACAAAGCCACCGTTGCCAATCATTTGAAGTTTGTGTCAGTATGTCATAAATAGAACGCGCCATCAGTTTACTGTCGGGGATTTGTCGTGTCGCCGCATTCAGTGAAGACATACAGCCTCACTAATTATAATGGGTTCATTGTATTTTGTCACGTCGGGCCGCTCGCATCCGGTGTAGACACTGTGAGAGCCACGCAGATGCACGTGAACTCTGAATTCTGTTCACTTCTGCGTCTATTTGTGCCTGAAATACTGTGCTCTGCAAGTATCCTTGTAAACGCAATTGCTTATGGCTTAGGTGAAGGTAAACAATTGAGAAAGAAAATGAATGTGTAACAGTATATTCATTCACAGCAGTTTAATGTTCCTGTTGCTGATTCATGAATCAGACAACAAAACACAAAGGAAAAATTACTTTTGTAGCTTTAACAGATTTATTAGATTTAATTTATAGTGAAAACTATATATATACTGGACAAATCTGCAGCAACTGCGTGATGCTATCATGTCAATATGGACCAAAATCTCTGAGAAATGTTTCCAACCCCTTGTTGAATCAATTCCACAAAGAATTAAGGCAGTTCTGAAGGCAAAAGGGGGTCCTGGGGCCGGTACTAGCAAGGTGTACCTAATAAAGTGGCCATATATATATACCGTCCTTAGGGGGGGTGCAGCTGGGCCCCACGGCGAACCGGGGGGGATCAGGGATTGAAATTAACTTTTTCACTCACCAGCCAATTTGGCTACTAAATTTTTAAGTTAAAAAAGACAGAAATACACCAACAGTTTGAGGCCGTCTACACTGGGCGTGACAAAGCGACCGTTGCAAATCATTTTGTCAGTACTAGGGGTGTGCGATATTGACAAAAAATAATATCTCAATATTTTCTGGGATTTTATTGATAACGTAAGTCTCTAGATATTAACTTATTGTTTATTGAACTGTTGTATAAAATAAATATCACATTTGTAACCATGCTGATTTTTTAAGAAAAAACGTCACTCTTCGTGTGATATTGATTAACTATATGAACTGATACAAATATATAAATTTTCTGCCTCCTTATCTTGAAGTATGTGATCGTTGTTAATGCATATCAATAGACTGAATCATGCAGCGAAAGAGCATGAAAAATATAAAGCACTGTTTATTTAATTTGTAACTTTGTTCTGTTATATTTATCTATGCTTGTAATTTGTTTATTTCCTATGCTGATTTACTCGCCTACAAAATCACCCCAATCATTGATTTTTTTCCCAAATAGAGCTATTGAAGTCATCAGATTTTTTTTTTCATATCGCAATATATTTAAAACAATTTTTTCGCAATGTGAGTTTTTCCCAATATTGTGCAGCCCTAGCCATAACTGTATAAAAAAACATTAAAAATGTGGTCGATGTACCACCTGTCAAATCAAAATGATGACATTACATCCAGTTTCAATTACAGTCTTTATAAAATACCCATTTGGCACTTTGTTTCTACTTTTTGTATATTTTCTTCTTTTTTTATTGAAAATAAATGCCTCTGTGATCTGATATGTGGTGAGAAACGGGAGAAGAAGAGGATCTGAAAAAAGCAAATTCGAGCATCAAAAGCTAAAACTATTTTTACTCTCAATGCCACTATATCAGTTACTAGCTTGGATTCTTTTGTAATTTTGTGTGTCTCAACCAGACAAGCTATATTTTAACCCATGTTGCCAGATAATGTAACCTATACTTTATCAGAATAATATTGTATAATATGCTTCCCGTGGATTTTCACAAATCGTTTTGTTTGAGGAAAAAATATGAAAATATGCACTTATTGTGTTTTCAGATCAAAGTGGAAGTGCTCTAAAGAAAAGTCCCACCTTTCAGTTAAAAGAGACACACATGCACATTATCTAGAACAACCTGAAAAAATACAGTATTTTAGCCTAATCTGCGCTAAAGAAGCTAAATATATAACAATATAACAATATTTACAGACAAGGCAGTAAGGACATCGGTAAGAAGGAGGAGGAGAAGAATGGTTTAACAAAGTCGTTATTTTGGTTTTATTTGCACACAAAAAGTATTCTTGTAGCTTTGTAAAATTATGGTTGAACCACTGATGTCGCATGGACTATTTTAATGATGTCTTTACTACTTTCTGGACTTTGTCCGTGGTAGTACCCTTGCTGTCTATAGGAGGGTCAGAGAGCTCTCGGATTTCATCAAAAATATCTTAATTTGTGTTACGAAGATGAACGAAGGTCTTACAGGTTAGGAACGACATGAGTGTGAGTAATTAATGACAGAATTTTTATTTTTGAGTGAACTATCTCTTTAAGTAAGAAGAGTTTTATCTCAATAATCTCCTAATGTGCTGCTTATTAATAGTTAGTAAGGTAGTTGTTAAGTTTAAGTAAGGGATTTAAAATATGACCATGCAGAATATGGCAATCATATGTGCTTTATAAGTGCTAATAAACAGTCAGCATGCTAGTAATATGCATGCTAATAAACAACTAGTTAATAGTGAATAGTGTTCCCTAATAGTGTTGTCACGGTACCAAAATTTCAGTATTCGGTACCAATACCAGTGAAAATCCACGGTTCTCGGTACCAATTTCGGTACCAAAGCAAAACACAAAAACATGCTAATTAAAAAATTTGACTATACTTTCATTTAATCCAAACTGTGTACATATTTAATTTTAAAGGGCTTTTGAAAACCTAGAG